TCAAGTTAACGTGTGAATCTACTATGATTATACATGGGTTAGAATATGTTTAGATATATGTATATAAATTATTGAGTACCATTTTCTTGTAAGTCGTTATTTGACGATAAGTTATGCCCATGAGTTTATAATAATTGGTATTCGAATTAATCACCACATCAAGTATGAAATCAAATATAATATGAGTTATGGCTCTCTATGGTTGAATTACGGAAGAAACGACCTATAGGTTGAATTAAGTTGACTTGGTATAGATATATGCTTGATTAAGATAACTTGGTATACCTATATGTTGGATTAAGATAAACATAGTTCTATCTTATTGAATATTGATAAATGAGTGGAGTCGCAAAAAATTACTGTTAAGTCAATGCCAATAGAGTGGGCTACTATAAACGTCAAATAAAGAAGTATGATAGAATATTATGATTTTACATCGATTAAAAATAAAATTAGATATATATGTATATAAATTCTTGGACATTATTCCCTTACAAGTCGATTTTTAGGGATAACTTCTATCTCATAACAAAATCATGTAATTATAAGTTACATACCTAAAGTTTAATTAGGATTGAACTTGTGTTCAATTCAAATTTTATTTTTGGACTATCCAACTCAAGCTTGGGAATATGATATCTCAACTCCAATATGTCGACAATTTAAATTGAGTTGAACCAAAGTTTAAATTGTGTGCCCAAACAATAATATTGTACGCACCATCTTTTTATACAATTTTATGCATCACTTCTACATAAATTATTAGATTAATGAGTCCGATTGAATTCAGCAAATATTTAAAAGTTGTGATCATACTTATAAAATGATGCATAAAGATAATTATTGGTTGTGATCATATTTAAAAGTTGTGATCATTATTGGTGATCAAAATGGTGATCAAATCTTTGGCCACAATACAAAGGGGGGACGTAGGTGTCATTAGGAGAAACAAAGAGGGGTGGCGAAATAAATAAATGAAATGATGGGATTGTAGGGTTTTGCATGATCGCCATAATCTGATAGGATTATAGCCGTCGGATTACGTAACTTGTAGTGTCAAACGTCACAGTGGCGTCAAAGTGAAAAGATTGTTTGACTGCATGGCCATGATTACCTGCTTTAACCAGATAGAGGCTTGTGTGCTGCACAAGTGCATGGCTGTAACCGTGTGTTGCTGTTGATGGACCACAAAATCAAAAGGGGGATGCTCTGATTTAATAGCGTTGGGAATGAGGGACCAGATCAGAACCGTGCATGGGGAACATGATAGGTTTGATCACGTCAATCAACGGTTTACCTGGTCCCAAGTTAGGTGTTATGTTGGGGCAAAATCTGGGTTCCAATGGTGATGATCATGACCATGTAATCTTTTGGGTGCAGTAAAAGCGACCTTCTGATGGTGATCTTATCGTTCAGTGTGTGAAGTTTGTGGAAGACATGAGGGTTGATGTGGCTGCTTTTGCCGGGGTTCAATGGCTTAAGTTTAATTTGATAAGGAAGAACTGTGTTCTTAGACTAATCATAATCCAACAAATTAGTTTCCATTCAAATTACAATCACATATATTGTGAATTTAAATGAGATTTGCAATTTACTTTATGCACGATAGGTGATTAATTACTAAGTAAAAATTAATGAAAACATAATAGAGAAAAATTTTGTGTACAAATTTCACATTGAATAAGAAAGATTCTTACAAAGATGTTACTAAACTGGTTAAGACTCATTAATATTCGTCGAAGGTTAAGGTTTTATTAGAGAAGATGAAACACAACTTCAGGCAATTTTTATTTTTTTTAAAAGAAAATGGTAAACCAGGTTAATCTGCTATTCAATTGTTAAAAAAATTTCTAAACTTTCCAAATCCTACATTCAATCTTTTTTCTCTCTCTGTAGATTACTGTATTATTATTTTTGTACGGTTTATGTATAAAACACAAAGTTGTGTTTGTTGGAATTTTAAAAATTGAAGTGTTACATCTTCAAGAACGAAATTTATTCTATCGTAAGAGAGTGTTGCTTATTAATCTTAAACACCAAAAAGGAGCATATTTGTTTTAAGAAAACTGTGAATACACAAACTCGAATTTATTTCAAAATTTTCTAGATTTCTTATTTTCTTATAAATTGTTATTCTACATTCAAGTAAGTGTTTTATTTCTGTTTAGTAAATACATTTTTTTTTTATATTAGTAGGTTGCATATAACAATATACATAGATATAGATTTACAACAGTAATTAGTATTCAATTCTGATTAAATTTATATTCTGGATAACATGATCAAACAAGAAAATAACATTGGAATGGATGTCTTATTTTTTTCTTTCCAAATCTTTTGCATACATGCAAATATTAAAACAACAAGGTTAGAAGACATTTGTAGCCAATGTTTTCTCTATTCTCTGGTGCAAAAAATTGGCATTTAAAGCTGGATTGAAGGAAAATTGCATTTTCAGGAAATGTTATTTGGACTTTATTTGAATACCTTATTTAGAAATTTAATGATTTATAATTATTAAATTAGTTATAGACTTCATTATTGATTTCATCTAACATTAAAACTCATAATTAATTTAATAATTATATTAAAATCATATCATTAAGTGTCTAAATAAGAACTTTTATGACATTGCTCTTCAGATAAAGGTTTGAGTAGCTTTCAACTAAATCTAAGAGGACCGAGGATAGAGACTATGAAGATATTTTGGAAAGTAAGTAATAACTGTACATCCCAAACTTAAAAAATATAAACGGTATTGAACCGCTAAAATAATTCGTGTCTGAAGATACGATGTAATGTGAATGATTTTGAAAAAGATATTAGTGATTGTTGGATGAACTTATTTAAGATTGTCAAATATATTTATTAAAATCTATCGTATTTTATATTATCAATATATGATTTACTATCCCCGTTTTTAATACAATTATGTGATTTTGGATCAATCTCAATCTGTAAAATAACTCTAAGTCTCTCTCTCTCTTCCCCCACAAAACCGGCATAGGCATTGGCACCGGCGCCAGACACAATCACGATTAGCTATTGTTCCCATTATAAACTCCAATATTGGTCTAAAACACATAGAAACAATCTCTATTTGAACTGATGGTGTTGGCTTGTTTTTGGGCATAGTTCAAGGTATTGGAGGAAGTGGCACAGATCAAATTAAGAAGCATTCGGTAGGAACAGAAAAGAATGTCGGTCTATACCTCACTCTATAGGCATCGTGTCCCATAGAGAGGGGGAGAGAGAGAGAGAGAGAGAGAGATGGGTTTTCTTAAAAAGAGGCAGATATGGATTCCCAAGGAACAGCAATGGAGCACGCGAGTTTTAGAGGTGTACACAGTAGTACGCACTCTTTGAACTAAGAGACCATCTCTTGTTGCTAGGACCGAGAGAGAGAAAGAGATGGGCCATCATATACTTTGGGTTTTGAAAAAGATACAGAGAGAGAAAATCCCAAAAAGAAAGAAGACAAAGAAAGTATGTTATTATGATATCTTTATGATCTACGTGACTTTAGTAGTTCGTGTATGTGGCAGTGGGACTCTCTTTCCCAAGCTTGATGTTCATGAGAAACGTGGAATGCACCAAATCCTGCAATCTTGTTTTGTATCTTCTTGTTTGGGTTATTGATGTAGCCACTTTTGAATATTCTTCTGCACTAACTTGTTTTCTTTTCATAAGAATGGTAATTTAGAGGAAACAGAAGATTATTGATGGTCAAACATAAAGGTGCGTACACAGTTACACCGAAGAATGGCTGCAAGGGAAAATTAGGTAGACTTGTGAATTCAGGGTTTGGCTCGAGTTAACCAGAGTTTTGTTCGAATTCAATTCAAGTTAACCTTAAAATCTTCAACCCTAAATTAAATTCGGATTAACCCGTCAAAATTGCACCCCTAATATTTTAAGAGTGGCTTAAGTTACCGTGGGGTCCCTATAAAATGTATAGAGTCATAACCATATGCAAATAAACTTTTTTTATGACAAATTCCTGAAGTTCAAGTCTCAATGGAACTATATTACCGCAGCGTCAAAATTTACCCCACCAATAAATCGGAAAAAATTAAAAAACCTTGGAAGAAAAGGTAACGGGGAGGAAGGGGTTTAGATTGGTATTGATTTCTGGATTCACATTCGGTTTGATCTAAAATCTTTGACAGTTTGAATGAAAATCTTCATGAGCTTTAATTTATGGGACAGATGGCTGGGCCAACTACCCTAAACTTGCACTTCTCCTACTTCAACTTATTCCCATCAAGTACCGGCAAACACTCGGACAAGATCTCTGTTGCACGGTCCAATTCCTGCTCCGATATGATCAAAGGAGGCACAAGCCTAACAACGTTGCCTTTTCCTGCAGTTAGTACTAGAAGACCAGACTCTCGGCAAGCATCCACTAGTGGCGAGGCGGATACATCCAATTCTATCCCGATTATCAGCCCCAAACCTCGTACTTCTTTCACATGTGAATTTCCTCCTAATTTCTGCACCAACATCTCGGTTAAATATTTACCTTTCTTGGCGACGCTGGTCAAGAAACCTGGCTTGGTGATTTTATCCAGGACAGCAATTGCAGCATTGCAAACAAGGGGTCCACCAGCAAAAGTGCTTCCATGATCTCCGTAATTTATGGCAGCAGCTACTCTTTCAGTTACTAGCACGGCTCCAATGGGTAGACCTCCAGCAAGAGGCTTGGCAAGAGTCATTACATCTGGGAATACACGATAGACTTCATGAGCCCAGAGATAACCAGTGCGACCCAAGCCACATTGAACCTAGGGATATAGGAAAGTACAATATGTTTGTGAGGTGAACTAATTTCAGAGCAAATCAAACATCAAAAACTTGATAGATATACACATATACAACCGATAGCATTAATGATACTTGAATTCAACTAATGAAGCTAATGGTCCCCCCCCCCCCCCCCAGGGGACATCTATGAATTTAATGTGCCCAAAAGGTTCTTCATGTGTACCATATTAGAGCACAATAGCTTCCGTTATCTAGCGAAAATTCTTATGTAACTTAGTAATTTGTACCAGCGGCTGACAACATAAAGAACTTCCCTCGAAAGATTGTTTACTATGTGCATTTCCTATCCATTGTCTAACTTCATGCATAAACTGCCTAAAGTGATTATATGAATACTACTGTGATCTCTAGAATCTTAAAAAACATCCCTGGTAGCTACCAATTAACAAACAGCCTACGGTGCCAATAGAAGACAAAAAGAATTTCAGCAAACTTGATTGTACACTTCCTTAATGTGGACTTATAACCAACCCTTCGGTGTTACCTCCTTTCTCTAGAAATAAAAGAATGACAAGCAAACAGCCTTATCCAACAAAAGCACTTGAATTTTTAACTTCAGCATAACAATTTTCTAAAGCTGGCTGCTTACCTCATCAAAAACCAGTAATGACCCAGCATCATCACAAGCAGTACGTAAGGATTGTAAGAATTCCTTTGTTGCACTGTATATGCCACCTTCGCCCTGGATAGGTTCCACAAACACCGCAGCAATTCTACCACTCTGAATATGGTCTACTGCAACTTTAATATTTCCATATTCTAAGAAAGTAACCCCAGGCATGATAGGTTCAAAAGGTGCGCGGTAATGCTCTTTGCTTGTCAAGGCAAGAGCACCTATGGTCCGCCCATGGAAGCTATTAGAAAAGGAAATAAACTCTGTTGGTGGTTGCGTCGCATCAGGATGAAGATGTCGTTGAAATTTTCTGGCAAATTTAATAGCAGCTTCATTTGCTTCTGTCCCAGAGTTTGAGAAAAAAACGCGATCAGCAAACGAACAGGCAATGAGACGTTTTGCAAGCTCCACCTACAGAAACAAAACATTTACTTCCTCACCACCAGCCACAAGAAAAATGCAGCAATTCAATAATATGAAACCAAGGGCACACTGTATTGTCTTGCCGTTGTTCTTAATTTAGTTTATGTAGTCATGATATTTAACTAGTAAAAAAATAAAATATGTATAGCAAATATACTAAATTACCAAACAAGAATAGGAAAAAAAAATACATATTAGTTAATCTTGTAGGCAATCTTAAGTCTAATATTTCACTTGAATGACCTCCCTGATTCTGCATTTTAAAATTAGGCAAAAAATTGAAACCATTTGATTAGATTTCCATAAGACTTGTCTGGTGAAGTATCACAAGTAATCTTCCTAATTTTCAGAGATCTGTTCTGTAAATACTCATTCCTTTCAAATTCACCTTTAACCTTCATTTTATCTCCTCTTTAAGCGCAAAACCTTGAATTTCTCCACAAACCCATTCAGTTTAGCAGTAACAATCACCAAATTTGCAATAACAACTCGACATCACAAGCTAATAAACCTAGTTAGAAGCAGAATACAGTAAAAGCTCTCCGCAGTTACCTAGTAATCTGTTCATTTTTTCCTTTCTTAAGTTTAATTTCGTTCTTCGAATAAGATACCATGACTACAGAGAAGGTCAGATCAATAGAATGAAAAATAGCATGCTTTTAATCTGCGAACCATAAATTATAACTTTTGTTGTGCCTCAAACATAAGCATGAGTATTTATGAAGCCTGCTAACAAAACACATCACTTCACACAAACCATTCAATTGATCAAATCAAATACATAATCATAATTAACCATTGAAGCTAACCTCTAAATCCTCACCTGCGGAATGGAGTAGAAAATATTGCTGACATGCGTGACCATGTTTGCCTGCTCCGTCACCGCCCTAATCCAATCAGGATCACCATGCCCGAGCGCGTTCACGGCGATACCGGACGTCAAGTCCAAATACTCTCGCCCTTCAACATCGTACAATTTACAACCTTTGCCACTGGACAGCACCACCGCAGCTCTCGCATATGTCCCCACCAAAACCCTCCCTTCTTCCTCCATCACCTCCTTACTAACAGCCCCAAACCCTATTTTCCCCAAATCTGGTGCTCTAACGTCCACATTAACACAAGCACTGATTTTAAAATTACTGAATGGAATGAAAAATCTTCCATTTTTGAGGTTAATTGAGCGATGGTGATATGTTGCTGGTGAAATAGAATTAATGGGGAAAAGTTGAGTTGAGCTCATGGTTTGGAATGAAGATCAGATTTTTGGAGAGGTAACGGCCCTCCAGTGAAAAGACAGAAGAAAACTGAGGAGGACAAAAATCGACCTTAGTGATCCGACCGGGCCGTCGCTCAAGAATTTCTGGTGTATGGAACGAATAAGGTTTAACCGCCGACGAATTTGGAACGTAACTTAAAATTAGCATGAGATTTTAATATTAGATAGAATTTAATGAATTACAAAAATTATTAAAATAACATAAGATTAAAGTAGAAGGATTGGTGTGTCATTGTAATTAAATATACATCTCTTTGTCTGCTATGACTCAGCCTCCTTCCTTTATATCATTTATGATTTGTTGTGATGGCTCTTTTGAATTTTTTTTTTGCACGTGCTGCATGCGGGGTGGTGGTGTACAAGATGGATGGTTCCCTGTTGGTTGGAACTGTCTTCTTTTTTCCTGCTGGATCTCCTTTGGTTGATGCTCTTTTGCTCTCAAATTCCACTATTATCGATGACTGTCTTAACCTTATTAAATTAAGTTTTACTTAAGATGTTCCCTCATAGAAAATTAATGTAATTATGAATTATATTAGACGCTTAGTTAGGGCTCATAACTTTAATTTTTTACACAAGTCTAAAGTTTGTAATAGGGCTGCTTATTGGGTGGCAGTTAAACTAACCAGTTCTCTTTTTTTGGATTGGTTAGACTCCCTTCCGCCTGAGCTTAAAACTATTATTTTGTTTGATTGTAACTTGAATTTTCCAACTTGATATATTTGGGGCCTTGCCTTGTTATGTTCAAATATATATATATATATACATCTCTTTGGACTAATCATGGATCAAAATATTCCCCGAGATCCTATTATTGTTGGACACATCTTAATTTATTGGGCAGTTCAAAAATAACTATTTACCCTGTCCATAGAAAAAAAATGGAAAAAGTATATCTTGGTATTTACCAAAGTTACATAATGCCAAATAAAGAATTAAAAGTTTAAATGCTAAATTTGAAGTGCTGAATGTTAAATTTTTTAATTCACAGACTGTTTTGTATCAACTAAAATTTAAATATTGAATTTAATCAAACTGTTTGACAAATTTAAAGGGCTGATGTTTAAAAATTATTGTTATTTTAATTTTATCATTCTTTTTAATCATTTCTTTGCAACTGTCTTATTCCTATCACTATCATCACAAATAGTGATATAAGTGGTGGCGGCGATGGTGGTGGTAATGGTGGCGGCAACACGATGGTAATAATGGTGGTGATGACATAATAATGGTGATGGCGACAATAGTGATGGTGGTGGTAATGACATAATGGTAATGAGGGCGATAGTGATGGTGGGGGTGGGGGTGGTGGCGGTGTACAATGGTGATGATGGTGGCGACGACAGTTGTGAGACCCAATCACGCATTGCACATATATTAATATAATTTTGTAGGTTAAATTATAATTATGTAAAATTATTAAAAGGTGAATTAAATTAAATTTTTTATAGCCATGATGTTTCTGAGCATACATTGGGTAGGTGGACCCCGTTAGTAATTTATGAGTGAGACCATTTATAAGAATTTCATGTGTAAAAATATTAGTGGGTCGATTTTAAAATTATTTAAAAAATTTGAGGAGAGCAAGTGTAATTATTCACCTAGCTTTACACATGTTTATAAAATAAAAAAATGGTGTGCCGTGTTTGTGTGAGTGTGTGCCGTGTGTATGTGTGTGCGCTTTATGGGGTAAAGTGTGTGTGTGTTGAGAAAAATATAAAAAAAGTGTGTGTGTGTGTGTTTTAACATAGAAAACAAGTGTGTGTGTGTGTGTCTGATGAAGAGCTACTGAAGCCGAGAGCGAGCAGAGCAAGGGAGGAAAAAGGGCAAAAAAAAAAGAAAGTAGAAGACGTCAAGAAAAAAAATAATTGTGTGTATCCATTTGAACGGTGAGTAAGGAAGGTATAAGGATTTAAGTTTTGAATTATGATTAATTTTTGTATGTACGTATTTGTATATGTGTGGGCTATTTTAACATGTTTTAATTCATTAGTAGGCTGTTTTAATGTAAATACATGAGCTGTCTTATTTTATTTTAATGGGCTGTTTTAATTCAAATTTCATTTGTTGATTTAGTTAATGTCAAAACAGATTTTGTATGAGAGTAATTAAATATATTTAGCATAATTAACGGGCTATTAAAAATAGGTGTCAAATGGGTATTAAAATAAAGATGGAAAAATGTATAAAAAATGACTATTTGAAATGTTCGGTATGTTTTTGAGGACTAGGTTGAAAACAAAAATTATGGGACTGAAATGAGTGGTTTAAAGGGCCAATTAGGGGTTGTTGTGCATTGATTAAATGTGTATGTGAATTAAGTGTAGCGGTTTTAAATAAAAAGTGCAATAGAAGTGGGAAACAAATGTCGACAACGCCGAAAGCCTAATTTATAAATGTTATTATCACATATGCAAATTTTAATTTAAATGATCTGAAATTTTGCATGTAGCATTTTTAAATAATTCTTGATGTGAGAATGTGACTTTCAAATGCAAATGAATATGATATCCGGTACGAAATGTATGAAATGCGGGAAGTGTAATTTTTAGGATTCGGGGTCAAAATGTGTGAAAATGGGTCCCCGGTCAATGTGTTGACCAACTTAATCCTAATTGTGATAAATGAGATTGATTTTAGGAATTTGGGAAGGAAATGTGATCCCTAGAACAAAAGTGCTAATGTGTGAATAGATAGTGTAGTAACCGAGGTTATCGAGGCACTTTGGGGTGCAACATTTGCATGCATTAATGCATGATTAATTATTAAATGTAATAACCATATTGATATTGTAATTACACATGTGTTAGGTAGAACGAGTGAAACAGTTGGTATTGCCACAGGTACAGTGCCATCGAAAGGATCCACTAATAGGATCGGAGGGTCGTAGATTTGTACATCTGAAGTAGGTGTATATCTTTATATGTTTTGAAAATGCTATTATCAGATGATAGTAAATGATAGAATTTAATAGTAATTCTTCAAGATTATGTGCTACGTGTTTATGTGATTGGATGATGCTTTGTATTGTACATTGTGTATTGTGGAATGTGACACTGTTTGAGACAGGGGTGTTGATGCCTGGTCACTGGGCGTGCAGTGATGTGCTAGCACTGTGGTATTTCCGGGAGGTTCGGGAGACACGGATCCATGTGGGATCGATTACCCAATGAGGGGTAGTGTGGATATGCTTCGGCTTGTGAATTCTTTGAAATTAAATTGATGTTGTTGTTTGATACATGTATCTACGTAGTATCTATCTACTTCGGTGTATTACTATCATTTTCATTCCATATACTGCATGTATACTCACTGAGCGCATGATTTAACTCACATCCCTATAGTTTCTTCTTTCAGGCACTACAGAGGAGGATGCAGACCGATCTACTGTCCAGTTGATTGAGTCTTGTGCAACGTTAGTGTGATACCATTCAGGTTGAGTGTCAGTATGACTAACCGTTGGGTTGTGTATTATATTTCTAAGAGATATTTATGGCAGATTAATAGTTATATTTGTAAATAGACTCAATAAGCATACTTTGTGATGTATGCTATGTGGGTGTGAGATTTTGTATATGTCTATAACCTGAAAAATAAATGATTGGTACAGGTATTTATATATAGTACATGTTATCAGGCAGGTTTTACTATCATGCTTAATAACTAAGGTGATGAGTGGTGTTGTTGTACCTGTGAGATTATATCATGTTTGATTAGTCCAGCTTATAATAATTGTTCACAGGTGTATGAAAAATCTAGTCGTATCTCATCCTTGAGAGACTAGGATGGGATGTGACAACAGTAATGGTGGTGGTAGCAGTGACACAATGATAGTGACGATGATGGTGGTGGGTGGTAATGTTGGTGGTGATAATGACAATGACAGTGGTGGTAGTGGCAATGACATAATAGTAGTGATAGTAGCAGCGACACAATAATGGTGACGGTGACGGTGGTGGTGGTGGTGGTGGTGGAGGTGGCGGCGACAATGGTGGTAGTTATGACAGTGGTGGTGGTGGCACAATGATAGTGATAGCGACAACGATGATGATGGTGATAGTGGTAGTGACGATGACACAATGGTGTTGATGGTAACGGTGGCGGCGATGGTGGTGCTATAATGATAATGGTGATAGTGTTGGTGGTGGCGGCGACGATGACACAATGATGGTGAGAGTATATTTGTGCATTATGAAAAATTAATAAAATTCTTACTAAGTAATATTTTCTGCATTACTGCTCCGTTTGGTATGATGAAAAAATAGAAAGATAAAAAGTTGGAAGGATAAATAAAACATCATATTTGGTAAGGAAGAAAAATAGGAAGGATGAAAAAGTGGATGTATTAACTTTTCTTTCAACTCACCAAAATCAATCTCTCCAAAATCGAAAGGAGAGTAGATGAATAGTTAATTATTTGTGTTGAAATGTATTTTATTTGTCTATATATTATGTATACATTAATTTCATAAAAAAATACAATGATAAAATGTGTGTGTGTATATATATAAATTAAATAAATTAAAATTTTAAATTAAAAAAATATTTTTTTCATCTTAACTAGGTGTAAAATTTTTTGACTCAACACGATGACACGACTCGAACTCGACAAAAATTTTATGATACATACTTAATTATAACTCGATACGAACTTAAAAATGACCTAACACGCGAAAAAGAAATATAAAAGACTTATAATTTTATAACTTAACACAAATATAACATGACACGACTCGACTCAATTGTCACCCCTAATATTAGAGAAAACAAATTAAAAAAAAATTAGTTATTTTTATTTTCTATCCATCCAACCAAACACAAAGGAAGGAAAGTGTATCATTCATACTTTTCATCCTTGAAGGAAATAAAGTGTATCCCTCCTACTTTCTATCATTCCTACTTTTCATCTTTCCTACCAAATGGAGCATAACTGAAAAGTAGGTGACTTGCTACTTAAAATTTTAGCTTATTTTTAAAAAGTGTTTAAAATATTAAGTAGTATGAGTTTTAGGTTATCAAACGAGTTTAATTTATTAAATACTTAAAATATTCAATTTTAAACATCAAGTGGTATTATCAAGCAACCCCAAAGAATCTATAGTATTACGTTGTGTTTGTTGTGTTTAGTATACAGTAATACTTTTACAAGAGAGGAGAATCAAAGTGGGAAAAGA